TTAAATAATAAAAATAATTATAAGTTATAAAATTAAAACTATTTATATTATATTTTATCTTGTTTATAATTATTAATTATAACTTGATAGTAATAAATATAATTATTATAAAGATTACACTCTAATATCTTATTATATATTATACTATTACCTAGGGGATAGATAAATTAATGGGGGAGACAACTTAGTATTACACAAGTCTGATCACAATCCCCAAAACTGTTACTATATATAAATTTATATAATTTGCGTGTGTCATGTCAAAACCTTTCAAAGTTTTAATTATACGCTTTTATCAAGCAATTTAGCTATTGAGATATAAAATTTTTTCCAAAACTCGGAATAAACAAGAGCCAATAACTAGCTATATTAAAACTTTATAGCTGTTTTCTTTTTCTTTGAAAACTGAATCATATACTCAATATGCCAAAGCAAAAAATAGAATGAGAAAAAAAGGTAAAAACTAAATATACTTGCAATAAAATACAATTTTGCTAACTAACTTGAACATTTTTAGAGAAACCGAAGTTCATATTCTGAAGAAGAAACAAATAAGCCAGTAATAAAATGACTAATACATAAAGATTCTGAAGCTTTGCAAGAACTTTACCAGCTCTGTTCTGATCTTAATGGCCAAAGTGTATGGTTTTTTCCAACACTTAAGAAGTCTGCAAAAGGCTGTATTTTGTATGAAAAATCAGAAGACCATGTCTATATCTATGATATGATTATGCAAAATCAATTTTCTTCTTTTTCGGCTTGAATAAAAGCACTCAATGGCAAGTATTTTTTTAAAGGTAAAAAATCAGCATTAGCCACTGTATTTTTAAACCCCAGCTGTAATGGAATGAGCATTGATCAAATAATCAAAGGAGACTATGTATCTTATTTCAAAAGTATAGAGATAATTATATTATTCTCTATTAAAGATACTTTGATGACAATGATATGTAATGACATGGAATTTGCAGATATAACTCTTAATAAAAGTAATAAAGTTTTGCAGCTTATTTTTTCTGATAAAGTAAAAACCATGAAAAAAGAACTTTATATTAAGCAAGCATCTCATGGATGCCAAGAATCTATCAAGTGCTCTATCTTTGTGAATAGTTATAAAATAGGTGACAATATTCTAAAGAAGAATAGAATTATGAATAAAATCCTAGTGATTAGTGATGTTCTTTCAATTGTTCAATTTTGCAAAAAATCATGTATTTGTACAGAACAACGCACTAAAGGTAATTTGAATCTATCTTTGAACGAACATAACTTTTTAATAACATATTTACATTATATATAGGATTTGAGCAAGCTACCTATTTGTGAGGTGACCACCTATATTCAAATTTCCTAGGATCCAAAAATAATCATGAGATTATTGCGAATTTAGAAAATAAAGGATCTTATAATGAAGCTTACCACAGAGTTGACTGTACTCTTCTCGTATTGGATGGGAACATATGTTCAAATTGCAAGATATTGCATAACACATTATATAAAATTGAAAAATGGAATACAGATAGTATATGGTTTATTAAAACATCACATGCATCTAGAGAAGTTCTAGCTGAACTTGTTCAGAATACATGAAAAGTATTTATTGTAAATTAAGTTATTTATAATAAACTGTAATTGCTAAATAAATATTCTTACCGCAGGATATCAAGTCTCACAAGAAATTGATTAGAGACCTTCATAACCATTTAAAGCAAAAGTTTGAAGCAGAAGAAAACAACATGTCAGAACTATTAACTGAGATTGTTCATAATGTGGTTAAAGAAGTTAAAAACAAAGAACATGAAGATATACCAAATGTTATTTTGAAAGAGCTAGTTCGTATATAAAGTGAAAAGCCAAAAGAAGTATGATACCATCCCATGTAAGTAAAGATAAAAATGATACTGGTAAAATTTTATTTAAATTTACTAACCATATTATAGATTTATTCGATGGGCAATATCAATTTACAGTAAAAGCCCTGCTGCCTACAAATCAATAAAATCTGTTATTCGAATGCCATCATTATCAACACTCAAAAACTATGTTAATGAGACTAATCAACATATGGATTAGCAAGACAAAACAGCAGAGTGAATGTTAGCCAGTATGAAAGTAAATAGTATGTGAGGATATGCATGATTAGGCTTCTTTTTACACGATTCATTTAAAATACAAAAAGGTTAGAAGAATAAAATATTTTAATTAAAAGAAGTTAACTTATAAAGTTTTTACTTACTGTAGAACTTTATGGAGTCAGCATGATAATAAATATATTGGATATGTTGATTTTGATAATGAAAATGCTGAACTTGAAGCATTTGGTGAGTAATATCTTCGTGATATTCAAAATTATATTGATGATCATGAGCAAACAAAAAATGAGAATGAAAAAGATCATGAACATGCTTTAGCAACCCAAGTATATCAAATTGTATGACATTTGATATCCCATACCTTTAACTTTCCAATAGTCTATTTTGTAATTGAAATAATAAACGTTTATACTCTCAATACAATTCTTTTTCACCTGACTGCCAAGCTCGAATGTGTAGGAATTCATACATATAGATCAGTTTGTGACGGTGCAGGTGAAAATAGAAGACACATCAAAAGCTTTGATTAGTTTGCAATAATCTGGAAAGTAAATGATAAAGTGAAAGTTTAGCTATCGAATAGACCAGGAAAAAAGAGCTACCAATCTGCTACAATAATTTCTTTTAATCCAGAATGTACCAAATTTTTAGTCCAGCTCTTAGGCATTGCTACATAATCTTGCCACAATGTTATGCATTCTGTCTTATGGCCTCTAATGCCAGCAAAAAGTATCTGGAATATCAATGATCAGTATGAAGTTCGAAATATAGTCAATAATGAATGGTATCTTGGTAAAGTACTTATTGAGATTTCAATAGACAATTATTTGGATGTTGAAGTTGCAATCGAGACTGCTGGAAAAGTCCAGCTAGTTGTATGGAAATCACTCTTTAGTAATATCCATCCTGTATATGATGAAAACTAATATTGGATATGGCATCTTGCTATCAATCCTGTAACTGGCAAGATATGGTTCTTCTTAAACGATCCAACCCACGTCTTCAAGAAATTGAGAAATAATATTTCCAAAAGTCATACTAGTAATGGTGAAGGCAAAAATATAAAAGAGATAATGTTTGATGATTGAGAAATTAGTTGGAGACACTTTCAAGAAGTATATGATCACACAGAGAAACACATGACAGCAAAGACTACAAAGTTAACAAAATGACATATATAGCTTACATCTTGGAGCAAGATAAGAGTAGATCTTGCAGAACATACACTATCACTAGAAGTTAAAAAAGCAATGGAAGAGATATCAGAATTAAAATATATTTCTCAAGACACTCAGGTTGTAAATAAAATTGTATTTATATAATGACTTACCTAAGATCTAATATAATATCTTTCATTAGTTATTTATTTATTATGCAAGAATGTATCGAGATATCATTCATAGCCAGATATGTATCTCTTCTCTTGAAGATCCACACTTGGACACTTTGAAGAGGATAAAACAATAGTTTATTGAAGGCGATACATAAAAAAAGAACCTAAGTCAATGATTTTCCTCTCAATGTTAGTTTGATTTAGTTTCATCAATTAATGGATTTCTTAGAATTGTAGAATATGTACTTAGCAATTGCCTGGGTGCTATAATCCAGCCAAAAAGAATTTCTCAAGATATGTTGGAAGGTTTATTTGGAATGGTCAGAGAAATGGATGATGATTCCTCTACACAAATAATCTAATCCTATGAATATACAATGAACAAATTAATGGTCACAATGCAAATAACGTCAGAAATATGAAGCTTGAATTATGGGTCAGCTGATGACATAGGCTGTACACTTACTGATTGGAAACGAAGATAATCTTGTTTGTATAAATTTATAAATAAGTATTTTTATTAAATATTAGTTTTGATAGGGATTATCGAATAGTATCACAACCTGATGAACAGAATCTGAAAATATCTAATCATTATAAAACTCAAATTCAAGCACTTTCTACCTTCAATCGCCAAATATTCAAAGAACTTCTCGATGATAATTTGGTAATGGGATGAATACAGCTGCCATCATCTTTAAATTATGAAAATATCAGAATTGAGAATATAACTATAAATCACTTACAACTTGAAAGAGCACAGTTGATTGAGCACTTACTGTATTTACGTAGTGTGGATGATCTTTTGGTAATCTGGTCAAAAAAAATCCATCAAATAGCATTAGACTCTGTTCTGATAAAAAAAAATACTCAGTCGCTGACAACATGGTTGACAAACCTGGAGAATCGATTGAATAATTATAAGTGTGCAGGCAACTGGTTCAGTGATTTTCAATTATTAATTCCAGACAATATTAGTATAGAGGTTCAGCAGTTGGTAGCCTATATATTGTTAGAAAAAACTATCAGATTTACTTTTAAGCAAGTACAAAATGGACAATATCACAATCAGTTTGCTCTAAATTATACAGAGTCATGGACTATACCTGAAAAAGTTATTGACTTGGAACCAGCCGAGGTATCAAAATTTCAGTATATTATTAGATAGATTATCTATAAATTGACGAAGAATGATCCGTTAATAATGGCATACCAAGACTTTACAAAGATCAAATTATATCTGGATATTCTTAGTACCGAACATGTGGAATACGTGCGTGATATCTGTTCAAAAACAATAACAATTATTCCAGGGACAGATTTTATCCGATTTATATATTATTTGAAGTCACTCATTCTTCAACTATTTGAAAAACATATTGAGTATGGACCAGATATTCTAATATATATTAACAACAATCTTATAAATAACCAATCTTTAAAGGAACAATTTCATATCCTTCTGCAAAAAACATATGATCTTCAATATGATGCTGAGCATGAAAACCAACTATTAGATAATCATATCCATCTATCAGAAGAGATTGAAAGTTATCTATTGATACGATTAATCAAAATCTATATGTGAAGCAGATAACAATCTTGGTGATGATTCAAGAAATATATTCCAGAAAAAGATTCTTCAAGCTTGCAAGAGAATATCAAAACAATGAATGCAGATAGGAAGAACAGCATGAAAAAAAAGAATGAATCAAAGATAAAGATCAAAAAAGGGATGTTACCTAAAGATCTTGATCTAGTACTTGACCAACTCAAGGTTTGGGCTCATGGTAATGGCACTAAGGATGCATTTGAGAAGACATTTACATTAGCTGAGCTTAAAGCTCTCATTCAAGTATTTCAAACTGAATCTATAAAGTTAAAGGGAAGAAAAAAATCAGTATTTGTAGATTTATTATTTACTCATTTGCAAAATTCTTCAAAGTTCAATGAAGAAACAAGAAAAAAAGGGAAGCTTTTCGTTTAGATACAAAAAACTAATCTGTAATAATTATTATTTATGATTAGAAAATTTGTATCTTCAAATATATAGGTGCCGTCTATTATAATAATAGAGATAAGCAAAAATGTCATTATAAATAATGTATCATTATAAATAACATTAAAATCAAAGAAATCTTACTAAAAGCCAATATACTTGGAGCTAGATTCAAGTGTTATTAAAGCAAATACCACTAATATCTGAATAAAAGACACTTATATAAATTAAATAGATATGTAAATATATAGGATAAGTAAGACTAAAAGGCTAAAATAAAAAATGAGAATACCTGAGCCTTTTTAGAGTACAATACTTTGTTTCTGGAAATGCGAAAAGGCTTCTGAGCCTTACAAAAATTTACCAGAAGGTGCAAATAGAAAATGCAAGTAGAAATGTTTTAAATCAGCTACTTGCTAGTCATGTAATAGAGGTGATAGATTATACAAGAGTCTTTTTTTAGTATGAAATTAGATGAATGTGGTACAAAAAATTTAGTGACAAATTTAGATCTAGTAATTAGACTTGTATAATACTAAGTTATTCCTCCCCATTAATTTATCTATCCCCTAGCTATTACTGTAGTAATATAAAATTTCTTAATTTTATAATTTTTCTTTAATTATATGAAATTTTATATTTTTATAATTTTATATTTTATTTTATAATTACTCTTATTTTTCTATAATTATACTATTTATCTTTTATAATTATTTTTTTATTTTTAAATATTATATATTATTTCTTTTATTTGAGATTTACATTTTCAATTTATCTGTCATATATAATTCATGTATTTACTAAATTAAATAAATATACTTGACTTATTTTAAGTGAAGAGTATTTACTATCTAAGTTTTTTAGATAAGAAAAACTTATAAATAACCAAAATATAATCTATTATAATAGAAGAGATAAATAAAAATAAGATATTAAGACAAAAATCAAAGAAAAATTATAAGATAAGTATAATTCAAGTATTTTCAAAAGATAATTGAATTATTACTATTCAAATATATTTATTT